AGGTGGATGGATGAATAGTTGGCTGGATGGACAGATGGATGGAGATGGAGCTGCCAAGGATGAGGCTTGGAAAGCCCAAGTCTCCATGCTTCAGCCCAAGCCCATAGTTACAACACAGCCATGCTGTGCCTCCACTCAGGACTAAACTCGGCCCCTTCTCAAGTCCCACTGAGCCCTGAGAGCACTAATAAACCTCAACAGCCTCACCTGGGAGGGTTTTCAGAGCCTCCCTCTGCCCATGGGCCCCTGAGACCTATTTAAGCTCAGTCCAGTGTTTTAGTCCCTGTCTGAGCCCCACTGTCCAGCAGCACCACCCTTCACCTCTGGCATGGCCACATTTTTGTGTGGCCATGGACCTTTGTGATCCACCTCACGGCCTCACCTCTTGGTTCAGACCTGCTCCATCCCCCTGACTTGGAGTCCTGGTTGAACCTGGTCACCACCAGCTCTGGTGGGCCTGGAGGGAGGTCCCTGCTGCATTACCTGTCTTGGTGCCCCCTCCTTTAGGGAGCAGCTGGCTCTTGCTGTGCCTCGAGTTCGGGTCAGTGAGCTGCTGGCAGCCCTTGCATCCCAAAACCACCTCAAATCCCCTCCCACTAACCCCTGAACCTTCCCCCGTGCACCGTGACCGTCCCGGGTGGGCGGGTGGAGCCCCCCAGGCACACAACCCCAGCCCCCTGAGCCACTCACTGAGGGTGCAGCTTGTAGAGCGTCCCGTCCACGCCGACCGTGACCTTGAGGAAGTCGAGGCCGCGGTTCTCGCGGATCTTGTCCACCACGGCGGCCATGCCGGCCCCGCAGAGCTGCGCCGCCCGCCGCGCCACCACCGTGCACACCTCCTTCACGATGATGCTGTCGTCGCACGTGGACTCCAGCCCCAGGTGCTGCAGGATGGAGCGCACCTGGAGCAGGGCCAGGCAGTCGCTGGAGGACACGGGGCAGCGTTAGGAGGTGGGGCGGGGAGGAGGTGCAGCTTCCCCTTCCCTGTCTGCGTCCCACAGAGCCCAGGGACTCAGGGCTTGGGTCACAGTGGCTCTGCAGCCCCCCTCCAACCTCAGCTTTCAGACCTGGGTGTGGCCCTGGGGTCACATCCTAATCAGGGAGGCTATTTCAGGACAAAGCCACGGAATTGGAGCGTGACACCCATGGAACCCATGGCCCCCTCTGCCCAGGGTAGAGGATAAAGAGGCATCTGTTCTGCCAACCCCAGACAGTCTCCTAGCCTCTCCACACCGGCGCTGCCAGAACCACGTGGATTCTGCTGATTTATCTGCGTGGCACCACCCTGGGTCATCCTGGCTCCAGACCGAGTGTTGGGACTTCTCCTGCCAGACCTGAGAATGCTTCCCCCAAACTCCACCCCTGCTCTGACTGACAGCTGGTGCTCACCCGCCTGCTGGGCCTCACCTCTCTATCTGGGACAGGAACTTGGTCTCAAAGATCCCTCTGGTCTTCAGCCTCTCCGAGATCCGTCCCCGGAAGAGGAGCCCTCGCTTGGTGAAATCCATCAGGATGTTGCGGACGATCTCCCCCAGATACATCCCACTGATCATCTTCTCAAACCTGGGAAGGAGAGCATGAGGCTGGACATCAGGATGAGAGGGGACACTGGGTCTGGATGGGGATTCCAGTTCTACCAGGTGCCTTTGGCACAACCCCCTGGAGCAAGCCCAGCAGCACAGCCCCCACCCCGCGGGCAGGGACAGGGGACACATCGGCGTGTCCCAAAGCCAACCTCTGCCCTGCTCATCATCCCCGGGATCCACTAAGGGGCAGAACTGTTCCTGGACTCTTCCAGCTCCCCAAAGCCACCACCCACCTCTGCTTCCCAGGGTTGAGGGACAGCTCATCCACCGCCACGTCGAACTCCGTCCGTACGTCGTCCAAGCACCCGCTGTCTCCGAAGGCCCCCCACTCCATGTTGACACACATCCTGCCCTCGTCCCCTTCCACCAGCTCCACGTTCCTCATCTCCTCCATGTAGCAGGCGTTGCTGCCCGTGCCTGTGGAGAGGAGCAGGATAAGAGCCCTGAGACACCTCCTGCCCCCCCGGGGCAGCCGAGCTCCCAAAGGCAGTTGAGTCCTCACCGACGATCAGCCCAACTTCACAGAGGGGATCCTCGTACCCACAGGTCATCATGGTGCCAACCGTGTCATTCACCACTGCCACCACGTCCAGGTCGAACTCCTGCAGAGGATGGGATTGCACGGGTTATTCCTGGAGGACTTGGAATTCCAGCTACCTCTGCTCCCATGGCTGGGAAAGGACTTGACTGTGAGTGTGGGAGTCATAGAATCCCAGAATGATTTGGGCTGGAAGGGATTGTAATGCTCGTCTCATTCCACCCCCTGCCATGGGCAGGGACACCTTCCACCAGCCCAGGTTGCTCCAAGCCCCCTCCAGCCTGGCCTTGGACACTTCCAGGGATGGAACAGCCACAGCTTCTCTGGGCAGCCTGTGCCAGGGCCTCGCCACCCTTACAGGGAGGAATTTCTTTCTAACATCCAATCTAAATCTCTCTTCTTTTAGTTTAAAACTGTTTCCCCTTGTCCTATCACCACCTGTCCTCCATGACCACCCACCTCCTGCAGCCCCAGCCGGCTGCAGGGGGGGCTCAGAGCTCAGACCCCTCCGAGTTCAGAGGGGCTGGGTCAGCCCTGCCAGGAGCAGCCCCTGGGCAGGAGCTCTGGGTGGTCTGTGCTGAGGAAAGGAGCTCGTGTCTCCTGAAGCCATGGCCAGACAAGTCTGCTCCAGCCCTGGCCAGGAGCCAGCCTGTGGCTCCAGGGTCTGAAAATCCAACCAAAGTGATGAGTAAGGGCAGCTGTGAAACTTCCGACACTCATTAGCCCTGAGCTCAGCCCAGTAATTTGTTTTACAGGCCAATTAACAATGCCAAAGACAGCCGGGACGTGGGAGCAGCCGCCGGCTCCTCCCGGCGCCGTGTCCGCTCACCTCCCTGCGGTGAATCGCCTCCTTCAGCAGCCCCACCACGTCCTCTCCCTCACAGCCCGTCGCCTTGAAGCCCTTTGTCCACTTCAGGAGAATTCCCTGTTGTGGGAAAAGACCCGGCAGTGAATCCCCCAGGATGTGCCTCCCAGGCACAGCAGGGCACGGGGGCTGCAGGAGGGGGGTTACCTCATCCAGGTTGTTCTGCTGGCAGGGGAAGGAGAACGTGAACCCGAGCGGGAGTGACACGCCCTTCATTCCCATGTATTCCAGGAAGTCAGAGATGCAGTGGACGATGTGGTCAAAGAGCTGGATGAGCAAAGCCAAAGAAGTTACCATTACAGCCCAACCTGCTGGAGATTCCAACCCATTCCAAGCCTGTTGGAATGTTCAAATCCATTCCCAGGACTTTGAACGGAGCTGCACTGTGGGAGGGGAGCAAACCCAAAAAAGCCCATTTTTCACCCTCTTCCCCACCCACAACATGGCCATATCCCTGCAAAACCCCACCTCACGGGCCCCAGGAGGGACAAGGGCCAGCGAGGAGGTACCACCTTCCCCAGGGTGACACAGGAATCTGGTCCCTCTACAAGGGATCCCCAGAGCCTGTCTGCTGGAGACACTCCCAGTCCCCAAGCGCTGCCCGGAGTGGTTTGCAAAATTCTTTCCACATAAGACTCTGGAGATGTCTCTCCCCGCTTGTGTTGTGGTTTTCCTATCTGGGAAATGGGGATGATGCTTATCTGCCCTTGTGGAGTGTGTGGGATTCAGGGAGGTTCAGTCATGTCTGGGAATAACACCATTTCTAACCTAAAAACCAGTCTCCAGCTTCCCAGACTCCAAAGCCTTGGGCAGAACTCGCTGCTCCAAGGGCAGGAGAGCACCAGCCTTCCCCTCTCCTGCTTTTGCTCCCTGGAAAGGCAAAATCAGCTCCATGCTGAGCCCTGTTCCAGCCACCCCAGGGAAGACACTCCTTTTCCCTCTCCAGCTGCCCATCCTGACCTCCTCTCCTGTGCCCTGCATGATCTCCACGGGGATGGAGTAGATCTTGTTGTGCATCTCCACTCCGCGCCGCTTCCCGTTCCTGACGCGCACCAGCAGCACGCGGAAGTTGGTTCCTCCCAGGTCCAGGGCGAGGAAATCTCCTTTTTCTGCAACCCAAGAGAGGATCATCAGAAGAGATCCCAGCATGGAGCACCTGGGATGTGGCACAGAGCAGATCCAGATCTGCCCTCTTCCTGGGAGAGGGCTGGAAACCGAGATGTGAGTGGGAGCGGAGACCAGGGGGCTGCAGGTTGGAACAGGGGGTGCAGGTAGGAAAGTGGAGGAGAGGTTTGCTCCTGACTTGGGGTAATGATGAGGCTTAGAATCATAAACCCATGGAATAACTTGAGTTGGAAGGACCCACAAGGATCCTTGAAGTCCACAGGACCTGCACAGGCTTCAAGCCAAGGTCAGGCACTCGCTCAAGCCACAGGTAGAACCAGGAGCACAACCCAGGCTGAGGGTGGGGAGAGTCCTGCTGTGGGGAAAACCACAGCGAGAGCCAGGCTTTGTGTGCAGTCAGGTGCAGAACGTCCCAGAGGCTCCGCGCTCTGCCCAGTATCATCCTGGAGGTTTGTGCCACTCCCGCCACAAAGAGGGAACTGGCCATGGCAAAGGATCCAGCCCTTCCTGAGGATATCAGGAGCAGCAATGCTGGCTCTGAGCAGGACACACACGGGCTTACACACAGGAGACATGCAGGTTTACCCACAGGATAGTCACCTGTCCCATCTGGAGTGGAGCACACGTAGGTGGGCAGCATTTTCACCGTCGCCTCCTCGTGCGTCTCCTTGCCCAGCCCTTTCTCCATCTCTTTCCTCATCCTTTCCTTCACCTCCAGCAGCTGCTCGTGGCTCAGCTTGAAGGGCTCCAGGATCTTCTGCCGGGCCTTGTGCTGGGCGTCCAGCCTGTAGGCCACGGCCGTCACCATGGCGGCCCCTTTGCCGCTCCCGTCCTCCGAGCGGATGAACCGGATCTCGCAGTCCGGCAGCAGCTTCCGCACCGTCTTGTGGAGGCGTCGGGCAAAGCTGTGGAGGAGGAGGGGGAGGAAACGGGACCTGAGTGTGCCACCATGGGCAGTGACCCTCTGGGGACCCCCAGCATCCAAAGGAGGTGCTCAGGGGGACACTTGGGGACGCTCCACTTGTGCTGAGCCGCGCCCGCCGCCGGCAGGAGCAGATCCGAGCTCGCCCTCCGTGCTCCCCGTCCCTGTCCCCTCCAGCTCCCGGACTCACTGCGGGTGTTTCTTGTAGACGGAGCCGTCCACGCCGACGGTGGAGCGCAGCCGATCCACGCCCTTGTTGTCCTTGATGCGGCGCAGGACCGCGGCCAGCGTGGCCCCGCACAGGCTGGCTGAGCGCGTCGACACGATCTGGCAGATGCGCAGCGTGGCCACGCAGTCCTCGTGCGACGGCTCCAGGCCCAGCTTGCTCAGGATCTCGTGGGCTTTCTGCAGCCCTTCCTTCTCCCTGGCGGGGCAAGGAAAGGGTTCAGGCCTGGGAACCCCACCTTTGCCGTGTGACGGGCCGGGTCTGCGCAGTGGGGTCTGTCCAGGGTATCAGAGGGTGGGCTGGGACCCAGGACACGACACGGGTCCCACTTACTTCTCAATGGCAGAGACGTATCTGGTCTCAAAGTGGCCGGTAGTGAGCAGGTCTGGTGTGAGCCTTCCCCCAAACAACAGCCCTTCCTTGGTCATCTTCACCAGGATGAGTCTGACCAGCTCTCCCATGTACATCCCACTGATCATCTTCTCAAACCTGTCCACAGGGAGGCACGAGATGGAATTGTGGAATGGTTTGGGTTGGAAAAGCCCTCTAAGGTCATCAAATCCAACCATTCCCCCAGCACTGCCAAGGCCACCACTAACCCATGTCCCCAGGTGCCACATCCACATGGCTTTTAAATCCCCCCAGAGATAGTGACACCACCTGGCCAGCCTGTTCCACACCTGACCACCCTTTCAGAGAAGAAATTTTCCCTAATATCCATCCTAAACCTCCTGTCCCCCACATAAGATCCCCTCTGAGCCTCCTTGTCTCCAGGCTAAACAATGTGTGTGTGTTTAGCTGTGTGTGCCACAAGGTGGCCACAGGTTGACCTGAAAACCCATTGGCAGCCTCCCAGTCCCAAATGGAATCTAGGTAATCCCTTCCCAGAGCAGCTTATCCTATCACTGAGAATATGAAGCCTTGTGGACATGACCATCCTTCTGCAAGGAGAACTCGTGGACACCTGAAGGGGGTCAGTCAGTTTGCAGAGTCCCCCCAGGCTCGCCCCACACTGCCAGGGGCCATGTGGGGAATGGGAGATCTGTAGGATTGGGATGTGGACATTAGGTGGGGGTGTTTGCCTGGGCTGGCAGATGAGTGCTGGCCAGAAGGGAACAGGAATCAGCACGTTCACGTGAGCGGCTCACGAGGGCAGCGGGTGGGATGGACAACCCCGATTGGTGACACAGCCCCTCTGCGCTCCGGTGGCAGAGGACATGGTGACCCAGTTAGCTGGGATGACCTCCCTGGTCCCAGGGACTCCGGCGCAACGGGAGGACAGACAATGCCGAGCAAACCACGAGCCTGAGCCCAGGCCAAGAATCTGCTCACAATTGTTTGCCAGGGTTGAGCGAGCCCATGTCGATCTCACGGTCGAACTCCGTCCGGATGTCATTGAGGACACCGTCGTCACCGAAGGCCCCCCACTCCATGTTGATGCACATCCGACCCTCATCCCCTTCCACCAGGTCAATGTGCCTCATCTCCTCCATGTAGCAGGCGTTGGTTCCAGTACCTGGGCCGAGCATGGGGACACAGTGAGCGAGGACACTGCCTTGCCTCCATTCCCACTATCCCTCATTCCCATTATCCCTCATTCCCACTTGGCCACAGCACAATGCACCAGAGAAAGCGAAGAGGGAAGCAAACAGACATCGGGCAATGCTGGTTTTCCAACACTGGTATCCCCCTCTTTTTCTTCTTTATTTTTTTTCCCAAAAGACCCTGAAGCTTGCAAGAAACAGGATCTCCCTCTGGAGTTCCTGGAGGGATGGACCTGCTTGCTCTCACTCACCAACGATGAGGCCAACTTCACAGTTGTGGTCGTCGTAGCCACAGGTCATCATGGTCCCCACGGTGTCGTTCACCACGGCCACGATGTCGATGTCAAAGTCCTGAGTTGGTGGAAAGGAGAGAGGATGACCCAACACAGACAAAACAGACCAAAACATCACCATGGAGCCCAGGAACCCTGTCCCAGGGATGTGTGTGCCCCCGTCCCACCGCCCCAGGAGGTGACACACCTGCCCAGCCTCTTACCCCTCTTTTCTTGATGGACTTGCGCAGCATCGACACCACGTCCTTGCCCTCCACGCTGCTGCACTTGAACCCCTTTGTCCACGTCACGAGGATGCTCTGGGGGGAACAGCCAGAGGGAAGGCTCAGAGTGAGACCCCCACCCTGTGGGGCTGCCAGAACAAGGGGCACAGGGCCCTGTGGGGAGCCCCCCGTTAGCAGCTCCCCGGCTGCGCCATCAGCCCCGTTTCCGTGTCAGATAAGGTTTATGGCCATGAGATAACACAAGACCTGCTCATTGCTCCCCGGCAGGAGGGAAAGTGGTTCCTGTGACCAGGTTTTATGGAACCCTGAGGCAAAACCTGTTCACAAGTCCATGGATTGCTCCTCGACCCACCCCTGAGGGGTGGGGGGCTTGGAATGCTCCTTGACCTACCCCTACAGGGTAGGGGCTTGTAGCCCCCATAGCCAGAGGCACCAGGTTTGTCTCCACTGCAGCCACCTGGCCAGGGGCTGAGCTGAGCCTTGGGGGGAGGAAAAGGACTCGGCTGCATTTGGAATCTTCAACACTCCGGGCACAGGGCCCTCGGTGAGGCTGACACCCATCCTGCCTCAGAGATGGGGAAACCGCGGCACGGAGAGACCCAGCCCAGGCAAGGTCAGGGGAACAGGCACTTCCTCCCGCAGCTTCTTTATTTTAATTTCCTTTTTTACAGCCCCCGTGTCTACCGGGAGGAAAGTGTTAACCCTGCTGTCCCTCCCTGCCCCTGCAGAGTGGCTCAGGCACAGCAGCCTTGCCCCTCGGCAGCTCCCGGGAGGACGTGCCGGATGGCCGGCACTCCATGGAGCCGCTCTCTTTCCATCCCGCTGCAGAGCCGGGTGAGATAAGGGCAAGGAAAGCATCCCCCTCCCTCCCCACCACGAGCCAGAGCCCCGCGAGGCGGTGGGTGGCAGGGAAGGGGCCACGTGCCTCGCTGGGCTCTGGGATGTGGAGTCTCCCAGCGAGGTCACCGCGGCTGAGCGGAGCTGACAGCGCCCGGAGGGACCATCCTCCCCGCCGCCTGCACGGGGGATGTGGTGCTCAGCACGTCTGGGTGCACTGGGCTGCTGGAGCTCGGGCTGCAGCCCTGGAAAAGCTGATTTCCGTGGAGGAATCCCATGGAAACATCATATCCCAGACCCCCGCAATTCCGGGAGCACATCCCTCGCTCCGCCGGCACCGAGCTCTGCTGGCACACACGGTGACCTGGGAACTGCTCATCACAGGGACCCTGTCAGAGCTCACTGACATGAAAACCCCTCAAGATAAATGAGGTAAAGTCCAGAAAATTCAGAAATCCAGAAGACTCGGGGGAGACCACAGAGCCCCTTCCAGTGCCTAAAGGGGCTCCAAGAGAGCTGAGAGGGACTTGGGACGAGGGCCTGGAGGGACAGGACAAGAGACAATGGCTTCACACTGACAGAGGGTGGGATAGATGGGATACTGGGAAGGAATTCCTGGCTGTGAGGGTGGGGAGGCCCTGGCACAGGTTGCCCAGAGAAGCTGTGGCTGCCCCATCCCTGGAAGTGTCCAGGGCCAGGTTGGACAGGGCTTGGAGCAACCTGGGCTAGTGGAAGGTGTCCCTGCCCATGGCAGGGGGTGGGACTGGATGGGCTTTAAGGTCCCTTCCAGCCCAAGCCATTCCATGATCCTATGAAAACCTGGCCAAGACATGTCGAAAACAGGAGACCCACCACTGCTCACTCATCAAGCAGCTTTAAAGACAATCTGGCACCTATCCTTAAAAAATATTGATGTTCCTTTTAACAGGGGTTTTATGGTGTGTTTGGAGATGAGAAGCAACAGAATTATTGGGAAGTGACACCAAGCACTGCATTCCCTGGAGGAATGTTCCCTCCTCTCTGTCCCTGACCGTGCAGCCACAGAGCCATTCCACCAACAAAAATATTCATAACAAAGAAGGGGCAGTGCTGTTCTTAACCCTCCTTCACCCAGAGCTTGGGAATGGCTTTGAATGAGAGATGTGGCCCTTCAGGAAAGGTCACATGACCCAAAATCAATGAGACTAATCAAAAGCCTGAGCTAAATTGTTGTGGGACCCCCAGCAAGAGCTCAGCCCATCCCACCACAGTCCCTCACCCACCTCATCCAGCTTGGTCTGGTGACACGGGAAGGAGAAGGTGAACCCAAGGGGGAGTTTCTTGTCTTTGATGTTCAGCTTGTCCAGGAAGTTGGCCAAACACTCGGCGATGTGGTCAAAAAGCTGGAAAAAGGGTAAAGAGTGAGACCTGCCAGGGCTGCCCACGCCCAGGGGATGAGTCGGAGCTGTGCCCACAGCCCTGCCCGCCCTCACCCATCCCCACGCCGGCGTCAGGAATTCTTGTTCCTGGCACAGGATCCACTGGGCTCCTGCTGGACCAGGCAGGGGGGGATGCCCAGCCCTGCTCCCGCCCCAGGACACATCCAGGGGTGCCGGGGTGACCCCAGGGTTGGGTAAGGGAGGGGGGGCCCACCTGCACCCCACTGCCACGCATGAGCTCCTCGGGGATGGCGTAGATCTGGTTCTCCATCTCCACCTTCTGCAGCCCGTTGTCCGACACCTTCACCCGCAGCACACGGAAGTTGGTGCCACCGAGGTCCAGTGCCAGGAAATCCCCATCCTCTGCGGGACCAGGACAAGGGGAACCAGTGAGCCTGGAGGGTCCTCGCCCTGCCAGAACCCCAGGGTAACCAGCCACCTCCCAGGTATGAGGATATGGTCTGATTTTTAAATATGTTTCTCTATTTTAACCATTATTATAGTGTTTGGTATTTTATCAGAGCTGTGGCCTGACCCTCCTCTGCACCCCTGACACACACACAGCTGATGGGGGATCAAGGCACTGCGTTGAGCTGGATATGGATGTCCTGGGGAGGATAAATCCAACCAGCACCACCCAGAAGCCCAACAGTGATCTCAGGGAAGAGGGGCTCCAGCCTCAGGCTCCATAAGGAAGAAGGCAGCAGAGCCATTGCTGACCCTACTGATGCTTGGTGGAAGCTCCTAAACCTCCCTCCCAAGGGGTTAAACCCTGTGAGCAGCTGTGGAAACACCAGAGCTTGGCTAAACTTTTCTGGGAATGCCCATCCTGTTGAGGCTCAGCTGGCGCAGCCCAGGCCAAGCTCCCTGCCCTGCCCCAGGAATCCCACACGCTCCCAGCACCACGGGAAGGTGGAAGCAGGAAACCAGGGAGGGAGAAACTCCAGAAGACCTTCGGGGGCTCATTGCTGCCTTCCCGGGGGGAGCCCCAAGGGCGAGCCCGGGGTGTCCCCTCCTGTTTGTTTTCAAGGCAGCTCGCTGGGCTGGGGACCCAGGCTGCGAGAAAAGCGCCCAGCTGGCTGTTTTAGTGGGGAGAGGGCCGGGGAAAGCCCTCTATCAGCACTGTCGGAGTCCTGAATGCATTAAATGTGCTGTGCTGGCTCCCCCGGGCCGATCCCGGCGCCCGGGGGCCGCTTTGTGCCGGCGGGGCTGCTACAAAGGGGCCACAGTTGGGACAGAACCCGGGGGTTATTAGTATGCACACGCCAGCGGGCCGCCGGCATCTCCAGTGACTCCAGCTGAAAAGGCAGCTCCGGGGCTCCAGCGGGCCCGGCGCCTTCCCTGGGGTCACCCCCGAGGGCTCGGGGCGAGGGAACGGGGCACGGGACCCACCGGGAGCTGGAGCGGCTTTAGAGAGGCGGAAAAGGGCCGTGGAAAGCTGCCCCTGGAGCTCCGAGGAGAGGAGGAACGAGAGGGCTCAGGGGTCACAGGCAGCTTCAGCAGGGTCAGAGCTGGGCATGGAGAGCGTGGAGGGCGGGGGAGCACTGGGGGTCAGCACTGCACCCCAAGGGGGAACAGAACAACACCCAAGGAGTCAGAACAACATCCCAGAGGGGTCAGAACATCACCCAGGGGTTCAGTGCATCACCCCAGGGGGGCCAGTGCAGCACCCAGGGGGTCAGCCCATCACATATCCCCAGGGTGACACAGGGCAGTGGGGGCCCAGCTCTTGGTGACACCAGCCCGTGCCCAGCCCCCAGCACAGCCCAGGTCACACCCCAGAATGGGCTGGCCAATGGAATACGGAGGTGCCAAGGCTATCACACCATTATCTTAATAAGAGCTGAAGTCCAGCGAGACCCTGCAGAGGTTCTGGCCAAGCTTCAGTTATCTCTGGGGCCCCGCAGCCCCTGCAGGAGCCAATAACCCCAGACCACTCCAAACCTGGACCCCGTCAGAGCTTTGCAGCTCCTCCCTCCTCAGCCAACACCCCTGACACAGCTCTGAGAGAGGCAGTGTGACCAGAATTCGGGGCTGGAGGAGGACACGGGGACATGGGAGCACCAAGCTCCTGCACTGGGGCAGCCAGGCCCTGCACACCCCTTCCTCCTCCTCCCCTTGACCCTTTGCAGGGATGAGGTTTAAACCAGTTTGGCAGCTCCTTTCGCAGCCTGTCTGCCAGCCACGGGGCATTTGTGGCCACGGTGGCTCTTCACACAAAAAACACACCAGGAAAACCTTGGAGAAGCTCCTGGCTGTCCCACTGTCCTTGGTGAGGCCACCACAGGGACCCCCCTCAGCCATGGGTGGGCAGAGCTGGATGTGATGTCTGGCTGGGCACCACTGGCATCGTGTCCTGCCCTACACACAGGTCACGCTGTGCTCCTGCTCCCCTTGCCATTGGCACTGATCCTGCTCTGCTCATTGGCACAGCATGGAAAGCACCTCAGGGGGCTGATAAATATGCCAGGGATAAGGGCACTGGAGCCAAGAGGGTCACAGATTGCTCAGCTCCTTGGAGATATTACAGGGAACCCAAAAGGCTCACAAAAAAGGGGCTAAGGAGCCTGGTGGGGCCATCCTGCCCTCCTGCCCAGCCCTCACACACTCGGTGCTTCAGCCAAGCCACACGAGGGGCTCGTGGCCCCTGGAGCCGTGTGGGACCAGCTCTGCCCTGCCCTCACTGCGGGACCCACACACCACCCCCATCCCCCTCACACTGCTCAGCACCCACCAGAGGGGCACGAGCAGCCTGGTGGCAAGGGAGGAGGTCAAGGGGTGGGTTCCCAGGTGGATCAGCTTTGCAGCAGGGAAGAGGCAGCCAAATCTCCCTTGGAAGAGCAGCAGCCATGCAGCTGAGGGATGGGCTCCGTGACCAGCACCAGGTCCCCATCAGGCTCCCACAGCCCCTGATAAGGTATCAGAGGTGGTGCTGAGCCCACAAACCAAACAGGGAGGGCAAACATGGAGCCCTGATTCCAGGGGCTGCTTACTCCTGGCAAACCACCCAAGGCTGAGAGCTGAGTGCCTCAGAACCCGTGGGGCAGAGGAGGTGGCCAGGGGAGAGAAGCTGCATGTGTGGGATCATGTCCCAGCACCTCAGAGATTGGTCACCCCAGAACCCCCACCCCCAGTGGAACCACAACCTCCCAGTGACTGCAGTTCCACTGTGGAGGAACCCTTGGTCAAACTGGGGAAATAAAAATTAAGAGGAAGAGAAAAAGTTGGAGCAGGTCCAGGTTCTGCTGCCCAGGGGAGATGCAGGAGAAGGTTGAGGCATTGACCCCAGCACTTCCCACTGCCACCCCTCACCAGCCCTACCCTCCTGCCGGATAGTTCATGGAGTCATGGAATGGTTTGGGTTGAAAGGGATTTTAAAGACCATCCAGTTCCACCACCTTGCTCTTCCACTAGCCCAGGTTGCTCTAAGCCCCATCCAACCTGGCCTTGGACACTTCTAGGGATGAGGCAGCCACAGCCTCCTTGGGAAAGCTTGCTGGGAATTAGGTAAATCCCCAACCACGAGACTTTGGGCATAAAAACAGTAGTTTTTTCCAAGGCTTTCAAGCCCATGGGCCAGAGGAGCTGGTTTGCCTGCAGAGGCACCTGGCTATCAGCAGGAGCTGAGCCCACTGGCCAAGGGAAAGGTGCTGCCAAGAACAGCCACCCTTCAGATTTCCAGGGATTAGACTCCCAAATCCTGCAGCATCCTCCTGAAACCTCCAGGCTGGGGTTATCAGCTGCTGGGGCTTAACAGGGGATGCACCACAAGAGCCTTGTGTCAACACCAGCGTGGAGGAGGAAACGTGGCGACACCAGCAAAGCCTGGAAAAACCAGGAATGGAGCAGGGGGGAAGGTGGTGGTTGCCCTGAGCAAGGAGAGCCCTCGGGAGAGGTACTGGGGATCCAAGGAGAAGCTTATTTAGGATATGCTTCCCCACCACCTCAGTGCCAGCACGGCACGGGGGCATTCCAGTGGGTGCCGGAGCCCAGCAAAGCAAGAGAAGCTGTTACTGGGAGAGTTTCTGCTTCCAAAGCAGAATTCCCCCCTCTTATCACATGCCATGGGAACAGGGAAGCCTCCAAGAGCTGGGAGCCGGGGCTGTGTTTTGGCTTAACCTGCAGATGTGACCTTGTATTTCCATAAGCGCCTCTCATCCGCCTGGATCCCGCTGTGGGATCTGGCTGTGCCTTCCAGGGGGTGGAATCCCACAGCAGAAATATGGGGGCTGCAGCAGGAGGCAGGGAAGGACAGGGATGTTTGGTGGGAGGATGGTGAGGAGCCCCATGGCACTGGCATTTAGGAGCAGGCCTGGAGCAGAGGAAAAGCCTGTCCTGGAAGTGGGAGCAGCTGCTGGCACCTGGAGCAGGTGGGAGCAGGACTTGGTGCCCAGCCCAAGTCAGACTTTGCCCAGGAGCTTTGAAAAAAAGGGAAGAAGGAAGGACACAGCCTTGGACGTTGAGCTCCTCCTGAGCCACACCATCTGTGCCAGGGATTTGGCACGTGTGCCACCTTCCAGCCTCCCCTCTGAAACCCAAGAGCAGCTGGTGCTGCTCACAGCCTGGATCCAGCTGGAGCTGGACAGGGAACTCCAGCTCTTGGCTCCAGAACCCTCCCATTTCCCAGCCCCCCTGGGCAGCTGCAGCTCCGTGACTGCCCCAGCACCCCTCTGGAGTGACATTTTCCATGCTGCCGTTCCCCCTTCTCCCTGCCCCGGGTGAGAAATGTCAGCTGGGGCACTGACGCAGGGCAGGGTACCAAGGACCTGTCCCAGAGGGGCATGGGGAGGGATTGCTCCTTTCCCAGCAGGGTCAGGGTGCTGGGAGCACTGGCACACCCTCCACCAGCACCCAGTACCTTCAGCTGCTCCAGTTCCCGTGCCCAGGGGCGGCTCCTGGCCATCCCTGTAATTACAAATATTCTCCAACATTTAAATAGATTGGAATCTCGATCCTGGGGCAGGGAGCCAGGTCCAGCTCCTGGGTGTAGGTGCACGGAGGGGGCCGAGCACAGGGGATGCTCTGGGTGCCCAGATGCTTCAGGGATTAAAGGGGCTTGCAAGGAAGGTGGAGATAGACTTTCAGCAGGGGGTGTAGAGAACAAGGGGGAACAGTTTTAAACTAAAAAAGGTGGGATTTAGATGGGATATTGGGAAGAAATTCTTCTCTGTGAGAGTGGGAAGGCCCTGGCACAGGGTGCCCAGAGAAGCTGTGGCTGCCCCATCCCTGGAAGTGTCCAAGGCCAAGTTGGGCAGGGCTTGGAGCAACCTGGGATAGTGGAAGGTGTCCCTGTCCTTAGCAGGGGGTGGAATGAGATGGTCTCTAAGGTCCCTTCCCACCCAAATCATTCCATGATGTGTCTTCACAGGGACACAGGAGATGCTACCACTCACCCCAGACCTCACTGAGACATTACCAGCAAACACCCAACACTGCCCAGTGATCCAGAGACCTTCCTGACAGGAGGGGGGAGCCGGGGGGGTCGGGCTCTGCTCCCAGGGAACAAGGGACAAGAGGAGAGGGAACGGCCTCCAGCTGTGCCAGGGGAGGTTTAAGTTGGATATCGGGGAAAGTTTCTGCATGGAAAGGGTTGTCCAGCCCTGGCACAGCTGCCCAGGGCAGGGGTGGAATCCCCGTCCCTCGTGGATTTAAGAGCCATGCGGGACATGGGTTAGTGCTGGCCTAGGCAGCACTGGGGGAATGGTTGGGTTTGATGACCTTAGAGGGCTTTTGCAACCCAAACTATTCCATGAGTCTGTGATTCTGTGATTTCACAACTCTACCACTTCTGTCCTTGCCTCCAGAGAGCAGCCATGAGTTTTTTTGGCTCTGTCCCTCTTTGTCCACCTCTCCTGCTGGTGACCAGCAGCCTCTGCCCCTGTGGTTTCACAGACCCCCCTGGAGGTGCCGACACTGGAGCAACCCCAGCTCCGAGCAACTCCATCCAACAGGACTGACCATCCCAGGGCCTCCTCCTGGACTGCTGCCATCCCAGATGTGGAGCCAGGGCAGCTCCAGCTGCTGAGGGTTCCGTCCCTCCTTCTCTTCAGCAGCCAGGAGCACTCCACCAGCTCGGAGCACTTGGTGGGTCCTGGGTGTGTTGGTGGGCAAGGGGTGATGCTGCGGGGATGGAGACCAGCTCCTCCCCAGAACACCAAGCGGGGAGAGGCAACAAGGAACTTCCCCTCTGGATGCCAGAGGAGGTAGTATTTTGGGCTGAGAGGGACAAGCTGGGTATGTGGCTGTCCAGAGCGTGCCTCAGGCACGGGAAGTGGGCAGAAAGGCCCATTGTGAGGAGCCTGCAGAGCCCCTGCTCCTGCCGGCCCCAGTGGCTCTCAGACAGCGCTGGCAGCGCTGCCGCCTCACTGCTCATGAAATCTGATGAGCCGGACCCGTGACTGTCTCTGTCCTGCCAGCAAGGGCATGCCAGGGCAGCTTCCCACCCTCCCTCCCGCCAGCGGGAACTGGGAGCCCCTCCAGTGCCAGCAGAGGGGGAATGAGGCCTGTCCCCACGCTCAGCCAGAGCAGGAGGAAGCCCCCAGGACCAGCAGCGAAGGTGGCCGTGGTGCCATCCCTGTTTGGGCAGAGCCATGAGGATGAGTGGTCCCACCCCCCCTCTGCTCTCCCAGGAGCATCTCCCCTCCCACGGTACCTGTCCCGTCCGGGGTGGACCTGACGAAGGTGGGCAGCATCTTCACGGAGGCGGTGGGGTTGGTCTCTGCTCCCAGCCCCTTCTCCATCTCCTTCTCAAAACGTTGGGACACCTCCAGGAGGGTCTCATCGGAGAGCCGCATGTGGTACAGGTACTTGTCGACCTGAAAGGGGACATAAAGCCCAAAGGTCAGGTGGGGACTTGGGCACAGGGGCACAACCTCCAGGACGTGCTCAGGGCAGTGGCCAGCCCCTCTCCTGGGGGTGACACAAGGAGCAGGGCGGGAGCAGGTCGTGACCCATCCCAAGGCGCAGGACATGGCACCAGTGGCACATCACCGACACAGCACTGCTGAAACAGCTCATCCCAGGAATCACCCACCACCGCTCTGCACCTCCCCCCAGCCATCCAGGGCTGCTCTCCAAGGAGCTGCCTCCCTTCCCAGATCGCTTGGGAATGCCAAACCCCGAGTTGCACCTGATGCTCCACAGCATCTTCCCACTCAGTCACCTACAGACACCCAAACAGGTTGCTACAGAAGCAGGAATTCAAACTCAGGAGTGAGTCAGGAGGTCAGGGATGGAGGTTTTCAGGTGTGGAGCCCTTCCCACGCCACGGCACCAACGCGCCTTGACCTTGACCCCCGGGGAGGAATCCACTGCCCCGTCATTTCTCTGCTGCTGAGGTCACCCCAAGAGCCAAGAGCTACTCAACCCCCTTGAGCAAACCACGCTGGTGTGACACAAGTGGGTGCCACGGTCAGAGAGGCAAGAAATCCACCCCCTGCTCCTGGAAATCGTTATACCCTTGAGCTGGGGATATGGAGAAGCCCAGCTCCTTCCATAAATGGCATCTGCATCTTGCCTTCCCCAAGAAAGGCATGGAAAGATTCCTCCCTGGCCCTGACCGTGCGTGTCCGTGCGGCCGGGCCGGAGCAGGGAACGGGAGAGGCGGACACTGCCCGCTCCCAAACGATGCCCTGCTTCAATTAGCTTCACTTAAAATTAATTAAAGGGCAGCTGCAAGCCCTGAGAAGTCAAGAGGAAAACTCCACCCCGAGCGCTCACCTGTCTGCAGGCACGTACGGCGGGTCAGCGGAAGCGGGCTCGGGCTGTGCTTTATGGGGCTGCACTGGAGGAAATGGGCATTTTGTGGGCAACTAATTGCACCCACCCAGCGTGACCTCACTCATGGACCCCAGGCTGCACAACACAGCCCTGCTGTGGTTTGGGCTGCCTGTGTTTCAGGCCCAGGGTGCTCCAGCACATCCCTTTTTTCCCCACCCCCAGCTCTGTTGGAAATCTGGGAGCTGAGATCCCAGTGGCGAGGTCAGGGGATGGAGGGAGGTCAGGGGATGGAGGGAGGTCAGGGGATGGAGGGAGGCCCAGCCCAGCACATTCCAGGAGATTTGCTTCATCTCCAGGGCAGCAGCATCCTCACTGGTGTGATGGGCAAAACTTCCTCCTCCTCACTTCTCCTGGTATTTTCAGCTCTTTCCCAGCAACTGGGAGCTGGGAGACCAGGCAGGCAGGAGGGAAAGGCCAAGAAGGAAACCTGGAGGTTTCCCAGTACCAGCTGTTTACCGGCCTCTCCTTATCCACCCCAGCAGCAGGAAAGTCAAACACTCCTCCCTCCTCTCCTATTTGCTTTCACCTGCTGAAAATTCCCTGCCGTGTACGAAGGCTCTGGTTACTGGCAACAGTAACCTCCAGTTAACTGGTTAACTGGTCACTCTTTCCCTGCTGCCCCAGCTCACCTCCACTCTCTCCTTTCTTCTCCCAGCTCCAGGAGCTGGAGCCCACTCCTGTGCCAACCCCAGGGTAGGAAACGTCCCCCTGAGCTGCACCAAGGGTTACCCAAGGGTTATCCCGGGGGTTATCCCAACACCATCAACCCAGGAGAGACAGTCCAACCCCATTTCTTAGGGGTGAGCTGGAGAGAGAGAGTTATGCTGGGAGAGAGATCATTATCCCAGGAGATACAGACAGTGTTATCCCAGCTCATGGAGACCTTCCCCAAAGTCCTCAGGAGCCACTGACCTGCCCTCGGCACAGCAAGGACCCCAACCAGCCTCATCCCTGCCCAGCAGCCTCTGGTGCTCGGGGGGTCCTGGTGGCACCTCTGGGAGTGGGGATGGGGTCCCACTGAGGGGTTCCCATCCCAGCAGTGGGGTCCCAGTGCGGTGTCCCCATCACAGGGGTGGGTTCTCAGAGGGGTGTCCCCATCCTGATGGAGGGGTCCCAACGAGGTGTCCCCATCCCAGCAGTTGGCTACCACACCACAGACTTCAGCCTTGCCCAAACTGGGGTTTCTCCCCCATCTGTCACTCTGCTGCTTTTCCCCCTGCCATGGAAGGTCTCATCCCAGGGAAGTTGGGAGCTCTGGGAGCTCAGGTGCTCCTCAGCAGTGAAGATGCTGCAGTACACAACCACCACCCCCAAATCACAGCACAGGCACACCACCCAGAGGTTTCGCCTCCTTCCCCCAGGACAGGCACCGCTCGGCACGTCCCCCATGTCCTCCAGGCTCCAGTGTACCTAGAATAACCTCAGCGTGAGGAACGGGATGACCTTTCTCTAATCTCCAAAGCCCTCTAAGACCTGGATCATCTTCTCCCAACGTAGACATTGCCCCACTTGGCAGTTAAGGCAGGTCAGGACACCCTGCAGGACGGCTTCTTCCCCAGTGAGACCACCTTGGGCTGTGCCTGGCCCCCACCAAGGAAGAGCCATGGCCACCGTCATTCCCAAAGATTCCCAGCCCCATGTTCCGCTTTGTTATTCCAAGCACCCCTCAAACTGTTGCAAAGACAGGATAAAACGGGGAGTTCAGCCTGCAGCACCAGAGCCACAGCATCTTTCAAGACAAACACACCCTCTCAGTCGTTTATTGTTTTTGAAGCTCATGGGACAGTTTGGGTTGGATTGCCAACTCCAAACAAATAAAGTCACTAGGTTAGGATCCAGGACCGGGCAATTGAATTTCTGGAAAGCTTTCAGCCTGACTAATACTGTTTCCTGAAGGAAATCTAAACAAACTGAAGGCAGAGGGAGGGGATGGAGGCTGGGAAGTGCCGGGCGTGCTCCAGCCCAGGACATTGTGTTGAAGCACCGGATCACGGAGCTGCTGCGACTGTAACGAGCTCGATGCCACCTTTTGGGACCAAAACCCAGTGAATCCCCATCTCCTGGCTCAGGGCTGTCTCCAAGGCTCAGCTCATTTCCAGGCCAGATGCTGGAGAAGTCGCCCATCCCAGCTGCACAGACACCCTGGGAAAGGTCTGCCTGTCTGAAGAAACCTCGAGTTGCCCAATTTTTGTTGCTGTGTGAGCTGAGCTGAGCTGAGCCAAGTTGAGCTTAAAGCAACCCAACAATCAGCTTTGGCTTTGCAAACTCACAGCTCTGGTAGTAGCACCGTGGCTGGATGGTATTTTACACCTCAAGACTCCTCTTAATCAGGTGCTGGACCCCAAAGGGTCTGTGCTGTGGAAATATTAATCAGTCTGTGAATAACTTAATTCCAATTCAATGCCACTATCCATGGAAAAGAGCAGGCAGTGTTCAGCCTGGAGAAGGGAACACTCGGGGGAGACCTTAGAGCATCTTCCTGTGTCTAAAGAGGCTCCAAGAGAGCTGAGAGGGACTTGGGACAAGGGCCTGGAGTGACAGGACAAGAGACAATGGCTTTGCACTGACAAAGGGTGGGATAGATGGGATACTGGGAAGGAATTCCTGGCTGGAGGGTGGTGAGGTCCTGGCACAGGCTGCCCAGAGAAGCTGTGGCTGCCCCAGCGCTGAAGTGTCGTAGGGCCAGGTTGGACAGGGGCTTGGAGCAAACTGGCTAGTGAAGGAGTCCCTGCCCTGGCAGGGGGTGGGACTGGAGGGGCTTCAAGGTTTCTTCCAACCCAAGCCATTCCATGAGTCTCTAAATTCCTTGGTTTACTAGTTGTTTACCTCACGTGGGTGCCGGGGGGGTCCAGGGGGGCCCGGGGCAGGATTGCTGTGGGTGATGATGGAAACTGCGGCGTGACGGCGCTTCCTGCCCCGCGCAACCGCTTCCTGCCCGGCCAGTGTCCCCAGGAGGGGGAGAGCCCGGGGAGGGTTGTTCTCGTGCAATAAGGTCTCTGGTGCATCTTTCCCGTTAATGATCCCAGGCTCCGGGAAGGGGAAGCTGCTTGCTTTTAGTTTTAATTCTGCTCTGAGTCCTTTCCCAAAGCCACGTGCCTGCCGAGAGCCGGAGCACGTGTGTCCAACCCCGGCACGTCCCCGCTGGGTTTGTCAGCGGGATGTGCCTCACGCAAGCAGCGTCTTAAGCAAAAGCAGAACACTGGGAGAAGTTGGCTGGTTTATGGACTGAATTCTTTTCCTTTTTGGCAACAAAGCCAAACATTTGTCATGTGTGAGAACAATGGAGTGGTGTTCAAGTTTGGAGAAGGCTGGAGAACCTCAAACCCACAGTGTGTGCTGTCAACCCTCCCTCCAGGGAAATTTTTCCTGGGAGTTATCTTTTCTTTAAACCACTTCCCTCCCTGTCACAGTTTTTAACTTAAAACATGCTGCTTTGCAGGAACCCCTGAAGTTTTAGGGAATGCTGACTCCCTCCATGCTTCTCTCAGCAGGGGATGCTGTGTGAGCACCAGATGTGCTCCCATCCCACCTGGATCTGCGGCTGGATGTGATGAATTCTGGGAAACCGAGGCAGAGGGAGCAGCAGAGGCTGCAGGGTGAAGGCATCCAGCACTGGGCAGGGTTTGTTCCCTGCCCCAGGACAGACCCTGTGCCACGTCCTCAGTCCCTGCCCTCCGCACACCAGGGCTGCCCATCCCTGCCCCAGATTTCCCACTCCAGGTGACTCAGCGCAGGGAACTGGCTCGTCCCCTTCCCCAGGTTCCCGTGGGTGACACAGGGGTGATGCTGGGCTGCATCCACCCTCCCCCAGCCCTGACCCCGGTGGCACCCACGTCCTTGGGCTCCTCCGCGCCGAATCCAGCCCCACGTGCCCTCCCCACCAGGGCCGAGCCTCGGATGACACACGCCCGGAGTCATCTCGAGCTGAGTGAGTCAGATGTTTCCTGCTCGGCCGGTTCCTCCCCATCCTCACCCTCACCCCCGGGCCGGCAGCTGAATCCCTGCCGGAGGAGGAGCCGGGCACCCCCGGCGAGGA